CCCCCTGGTGCTGGGAGGGGAACAGGCTGTGGGAGACACCCAACTAGGAAGACTAGAATACGGAGGAGCAGGGGAGCTGGGGCAAAAGGCCTAAGTCTGTGTGTGTGTGTGTGTATGTGTGTGAATATAATTCATATACCATCAAATTCACTCTTATTTAAATAAGAAACATGTTTGTTTAAACTGTATACTCCATCAGTATTTCCAGAGCAGTTTCTTTTTTTTTTTTAAGTATATTTTATTGACTTCAGAGAGAGGAAGAGAGGAGAGAGAGAGAGAGAGAATCATTGATCAGCTGCCTCTTGCACACCCCCTTCTGGGGATTGATCCCTGCAACCCAGGCATGTGCCCTTACTGGGAATTGAACCGCAGCCTCCTGGTTCATAGATTGATGCTCAACCAGTAAGCCACCCGGTCAGGCCATAAACATCTTTGTTCACTTTTGGCATGAGCGGTAGGATATACCTAAAGGATCCTGGGGAGGGGGAGTTCTGACAACATTTTTGTGATACTAGTAAAATAAAATAAATCCACTTTAGTAAACAAAATATGTTTTAAGAAGACATGTTAAAAGGTACATTAAAAAATCAAGCAGCACTCACTTTGGCAGCACATATACTAAAAAAAAATTTTTTTAAATTGGACTCATACAGAGAAGATTATGGCCCCTGTGCAAGGATGACACACAAATTTGTGAAGCATTCCATATTTTATTTATATATAATCTCAAGGCAAACATTAGCTTTCTTGATGGAAGGGAGCTCACAGGACCAGTCCCCTGAGTCAAGTATAAGGTGAATACAATTCAGCTTGAGAGCCCATTAGCACATCCACAAACATTTCCTTGTAAGGAAATGATAGAAGGTGCTCAGTGCACAATTCTGTGGGTTTGGGTGTGTTCACCACGTTGTACACCCTCACTAGCTACTTCCAGAACATTTTTGTTCCCCAAATAAAACCCCATCATTCCCCCCCACCCCCATCCCTACCCCCTAGCCCTTAACGACACTGACCCGCTTCCTGTCCTGGACATTTCACACAAATGGGATCGCACGCTGCGTGGCTTCTCTTGCCAAGCGTCATGTTTTTAGGGTCCATCCATGTTCGCATCTTATGACTGGATTGTATTCCGTTGTTTGCATGGACCACATTATGTTTATCCCGCCATCTGTGGATGGGCATTTAGGTTATTTCCACCTTATGGTTTTATAAGTTTGTGTGAGTGAATGTTCCATTTTTCTTGGGCAGATACCTAGGAGTGGAATTGCTGGGTCATATGGGGACTCTTTAACCGCATGAGGAATTGCCGGGGTGTTTTCCACGGTGGCTGTACCATGTTATTTTCCCACCAGCAGCGCATGAGGGGTCCAATTTCTCCGCATCCTTGACATGTTAATGTGGAGTTTTTCTTTGTTAGTATAGCCATCCCGTTGGATGTGAAGTGACATTCCACTGTGGTTTTGATTTCCAAAGCCTCATGTTCTTAGTTGTTATTTGAGTCTCTGGGGTGCCCAGAGTGCTGTTATGGGGGTCCTGCTGTAGCCCAGCTCTGCTGTGCTTCTGCAGCGGTCGCCATCCGGTGGTCCGTGAGGTCCGAAAGGTTGGCGACCACTGCTTTAGAGCACAGACCCAGGTAGGATTCTGGTCCAGTTCTCATCAGCTGTGTGGTCTCGGCAGAAATGACCGCCTGAGGCTGAGTGGCAGTGATTTCTGTGCTGGCAGAAGGTCCTCACCATGGCCCCTCTGCCCGGCCCGGCCCCGCCCCTGGGGAGTCAGGACCCTCCAGACTGGACTCTGGTTGCTTAGCAATGGGAAGGTGATCCACTTCCATGGCAGCCGAGGGCTCAGATTCCTATCTTGGGGCAGTGGCCATTGGGAAATGCTCAGCCTGATTCTGTATTACCTGGGCATACCCATCCTCTGGGCCTCCAGCTCAAAGTCACTTTGAGGCCCTGAAGCGTAGACACCCCCCCACCACCACCACCCCCCGAAACTGAAAGTTGAGAGCACTTTCCTTCTGGCCAGAAGCCAGAAATCGGAGCCCTGACCCTTGGCCAGGGAGGAGTGAGTCCTCAGGCTCTGTAAGCCCCTCCCTCCTCCCCAGGCAGCCAGGCAGCCGTGCTTCTAGGGCTGTGATCCGGGGCTGGCGTCAAGCTGTGGCCGAGACTCCTCTCGGTGCTGAAACCCCATCCTTAGAGACTGCAACACAGTTCAGTGAGCGACAGATCAGAGAGACACGGAGCAGGACGGTTGGAGAGATTTTGAAAATGCATTTAACAGATTGATGGCGGGGCGTTGGGGGAAAAAGATTGACTGCAGGAGTAAAACTCTGCCCCGTGGAGAATGAATGTTCTTGTCAAATACAGGTAAAGCATTTTCAGAAAGTGGCCTGTTCTGAACTGCAAAGGTGTCTGTACTATCTTATGCTCCGTATCCCCAGACCACAGTCCCTCACTCCCCAATGGTTAAAAACATCTTTTGTAATAAATCTTGGCTTAGAGAGACAATCAGTCAAAATGGAGGTTATAAAGATATTTAAACTTGAAAAAGGACAGAGTAATTTAATACATGGGCTGCAGCCAAAGCTGAACTCAGAGGAGAGGAATAGCCTTTGGGCATTTACAGGAAAACAAGAAAGACTGGGTGAATGAACTAAAATTAATTCAGGATCAACCACATACACCAGAGGAAGGAAGGAAGGAAGGATCCCTGCAACTCCTCGGGGCCAGGAAACCGACCTGGACCAGGGTCAGGGTCCACCTTACAGCTGTGTCGCCTCCTCCTAATTACTTCCCTTCTCTGAGCTTCTGTTTCTACCATCTTCTCAATAGAAAACAAAACAAAAACCAGAAGCACAAATAGTTTAAAATGCCAGACAATAACATCCCAGTTCATTGAATTCCAGTCTTTCTTTGTTTATAACAAGTGCTTTTGTGGCCAGGAATTTTCCTGTGTACTCCAGTTTGGCTGTGCCCACAGATCCCAACAGGGAGCTTAGATGTCCGTCTAATTTGGTTTATGGTTTTCTCTCTTTTAAAAATATATATTTTTATGATTTCAGAGAGGACGGGAGAGGGAGAGAGAGAGACAGAAACATCAGTGATGAGAATCATTGATCCGCTGCCTCCTGCACGCCCCCTACTGGAGATCGAGCCTGCAACCTGGGCATGTGCCCTGACAGGAATCGAACCGTGACCTCCTGGCTCAGAGGTCAATGCCCAACCACTGAGCCACACCGGCCGGGCTATGATTTTCTCTTTAGCCTGGAGTGTGGCTCGCAGGCCTGCCAGGCCTTCCCTCCGGTCTCAGGTCTCACTGTCTCTCTTCACCCCGCCAGTGGTCCATGCCGTGGACGGCACCGCAGTGAACGGGATCCAGCCACTGAGCTCCTCCGAGGTGGACGATCTCATCCACAAGGCAGATGAAGTCACGCTGAGTGAGGCAGGGCCCGTGGCTGGGGCAGCAGAGACCGGGGGGACGTCGGAAGAGGCCGTCCGGACCACCACACCCTCCAGGCGGGAGATCACCGGAGTCCAGGCGCAGCCTGGCGAGGCCACTTCCGGCCCACCGGGCATCCAGCCTGGCCAGGAGCCCCCGGTCACCATGATCTTCATGGGGTACCAGAATGTGGAGGATGAGGCAGAAAGCCAGAAAGTGCTGGGGCTGCAGGACACCATCACGGCGGAGCTGGTGGTCATCGGGGATGAGGCCGAGCCCAAGGAGGCCGCCCCACCCAACGGCAGTGCGGCCGAGCCCCCGACCACCTCAGGCTCCAGGGAGGAGAACCAGGTGGGGCCCGAGGCCCCTGCCAGCGACACCCAGGACCTTGACATGAAGAAGCAGCGTTGTAAATGCTGCTCCATCATGTGAGCCGCAGGCCCCAGACCCCGGCCCCACCCTCCACACCACAGAGACCCACAGCCCGGCCCCAGGGCCTGCCCACCCTCCACCCACAGTCATGGACCCCAGGACATGCTATGTTGTCACATCTTCCTTCTGAGAACAGGAAAGAGAGGGTCAGGGGTCCCGTGCCCATTCCCACCCCGACACACCCTAAACCACTGAGCTGTGTGCCTGGTAGGACAGAGACACGGACAGACCCACTTCTCCCAAGACGAGGATCCCCCACGTGTCACGGCAGCTCCACAGACGGGCTTTTGCCCACAGAGTTCCTGGCTGGTGGAACCCAGGCCTCTGTGCCGCCCCAGGCAAGCCCGCTACCCTCCGGGCCTCCTGCCCGTGCCTTTCTGCCGCCTCCGGTGAGGTCTCCGAGGGGACATCGCAGAGAGGGACTGGAGAGCCAGGGGTCCTGGGCGCCTTTTCTGTCCCCACTCAGCCCCTGGAAGTATAGGACAGAGACAGGGACAGACCCACTTTTCCCAAAACAAAGATCCCCCACATGTCAAGGCAGCTCCATGGATGGGCTTTTGCCCACAGACTTCCTGGCTGGTGGGACCCAGGCCTCTGTGCCGCCCCAGGCAAGCCCACTACCCTCCGGACCTCCTGCCTGTGCCTTTCTTCTGCCTCCAGTGAGGTCTCCAAGGGGACATCGTAGAGAGGGACTGGAGAGCCGGGGTCCTGAGCGCCTTTTCTGTCCCCACTCAGCCCCTGGAAGTGGGGTTCCCTGGCAAAGGCAATGGTGTCGGAATCTTGGGCAGTTGGGGTGAGGCTGTGCCTCACTGGGGAGCCTAAGTCAGAAACTAGGCTCCTGTTCTTAGAATAAAGCAGGGGCCCCTCTGGCACCCCAGCCCAATGTGCCCTTCCCTTGATACTCTCCATGGGCATGACCAGTGCATGATGGAGCCCAGGAAGGAGGAGCCCAGAAGACACACACCCCACTTGCGGGAGTCTATGACTCCTGTGCTGTCTTCTGGATGGGGCAGGTGAGGGTCTTCTAGTTGCACCCTGCACAAGGCAGGGATATGTGAGCCACTTCTTGTCCTGAACTCCCACCCTCACTGGGCTCTCCTTCCTCCTGGTACTAATTTGAGGACACGGGGGGGAGGGCTGCCCCAGCCCATTCTCCAGCGTACTTGAGCCAGAGTCCTGGGTCTCCCTAACCATACCCCAGAGATCAGGCCGACTGCCAGCTCTGCTAGGTTTGGCATTCTGGGCAGTGGAGGGGCCCACAGCCTGGGGCAGGGAGCATCCCCTGGTTGCAGCAGGAGACCCCATTGGCTACCCAGCCCAGCGTGAGCCTCCCCCCACCTCGTTGGAAGGGGTGAGGGGTGAGGGACTCGCTTCTGGGTAGCTGACACCCAGGTGTGCACACACCCCTCCCAGGTTGCAGCCACACTCATCCTCAGAGGCACATTCATGCCCACGCTTACGCACCCTCTCCTGTGTAGGCTGTAGGATGACCAGGCCCCATCTTGGGCCCCTCCCCTGGGCCCCCCCTCCTGGTGCCCAGGCTGAGGCAGCCCCCTCACCACTGCCTCTGAGGAGCCATGCAAGGGCTGCCTGAAACCAGCCCGGCCTGTCTCAGCTCTGCCCCTTGGGGGTGGGAGGAGAGGCCCTCTCTGAGGCGGCCCCCAGCAGTGGCATGGACCCCCTCCCTCCTCAAGCTGCCAAGTCCGAGAGCCGAGAGCCTACGCTGAAGTGCCCTTGCTGCCCCCTCTGCTTTCGATGTGTGACAGGCCTGTGTTCCTGACTTTCCCAGAGAAGCAAATAAACCCCGTGAACGCCCTGGGTCCTGGAGTTCTTGATTTCTCTGGGGCCGGGAGGATGTGGCCAGGCAGGGGGTGGGTGGGGCCCGCCTGGGTGGCCTTAAAGGGAGCTGCGTGGGGCCCTGCATTCCTCCAGCTCACCTGGTACTGAGGTGGGGACATTGGTGGAGGCCACACCTACGCCTGAACACATCTGAGCAGCACCTGGGCAGGTAAGACCTGGAGGTACAGGGGCAGCAGCCAGTGGCAGGACTTGCTTTCTGTTTCCTCTGGAGGCCACATTCCAGACCCGCCCTGCCCCTCTCATCCCTTGGCAGGGAGGCTGCCCCTTGCTGGCTCGCAGCACCCCAAGAAACCGAAAGGATCCCACAGACACCCCCGAGTTCTAGAGGGAACCGGCTCCTGAAAAAATAGATGGGGCCTTGGGGGAGGACGCGTTTATGGGGGCTGCCACCCCATTTGACCTCACTGTGGCTGGGAAAGTCGCTGTCCCCTGGGCCTCAGTTTGCCCACCTGTTCAGTGCTTTGGACCCTGAGTGGGCCCCCCGTCTGGGAGCAGGACATTGGGTGCTTGTCTCCACAGTGCTCCCAGCACACCGGGTGACAGTCTCTGCCGTTTGGGGCCTTGGTTTCCCCAATCGGGCGGTAAGGATGGTGGGCAGGTTCCAATCCCAGCCCCCCACCAGCACTGTGGGCCCTTCGGCCTGGGAGCTGCTGGGCTTCAGTTTCTGTGGCTGCAAAACAGACAGGAGGACACGCAGTGAGTGGTGTGGAGGGACGACAGCAAGGCTGTCCGCCCCAGGTTTTGCCAGAACTGGCCCATGTGGAACGCTCAAGCTGTCCCTCTGGGCTGAGCCCTGTGTCTGGACCTGCCTCAAACCCTCATCCCAGGCAGACCGGCCCGGTTTGGGGCTCAGGCCCACTCGATGGAAGAAGAGACTGAGGTTGAGAGGGACCCTGCAGCCAGCCAAGGGCAGGACACAGCCTCAGCCCAACCTACTGTGTCCCCGGCCCCGGAGACTGGCCACTGGTCCCAGTGCCCTGACTTTGCTGTGAACACGGGGCTCCTGCCGCCCTGGCCAGCTTCTGCACCTCAACCAAGAATCGGGTGGGACAGCTGAGCACCTGGGAGGACCCGCCGCCCAGTTGGGGCCTCTGTGCTCCGTGTGGCAGTGGGACCCGGGCCGTGCCCACCCACCACCATGTCTGCCACTTTGGGTCTTCAGTCGGCTCTTTATATCCGATCCGAGTGGCCCGGGGCATCCTCCCCGCGTGATGGCCTGTTTCACGAGAAGGAAACAGGCTCAGAGAGGCTGCGGGGATTTGAACCCGGACCGCTGACTCCCCCAGACGCCGGCCGGCCGAGCTTGTCCCAGAAAAGGACTCTGGGGGAGTAGCCCCAAAGGTGGGTGGAGCCAGGTGGCACCATGGATGTATAGGACTCAGACCCCCACAACCCACAAATGGGCTGCTGGTTCCTGTACCTGCTGTGTGGCCCCGGGCACAATGTCCCCTCTCTGCGTGGCACTGAGGGTGTGGGAAAGCCAGGTGGCAGCTAGAGGGCGGTTTCGGGTGAATTCCAGCTCCAGGGGCTGGAGGCCCTGGGGGCCGGGGCTGGGGCTGGGGGCAGAGTGCAGTGGGCATGGTGCCTGGGTGTCCGCTTTCTCCCTCCTCCTCCGACCTTTGTTTCCTGATCCCGGGTGGGGCCGGGGAGGAGGGAGTGCACCTGCCTCCCTTGGGTGGGGCCTTCCCCTGGCAACCTGAGGGGAGGGCGGTGCCGCCAGAGTGGAGCCGAGGCTGGGAGGCTGCTGGGGGCCTGGAGCTGGCAGGTGAGACAGGGGGCGTGGGGGCAGGATGCACCCAAAGCGATGGCGGGGTGGGTCCCGCATGGGGTGGGTCAGTTTTTGGAACGGGGATTCCTGTGTCAGTTGGCATCATCCGCTCACTGGTGGGGCCCTGGGGAAGCAGGGGGAGAGGCACTCCATTCTCACCCCATACCCCTCTGGACCCAGCTGGGGTCCCAGGGGCTGGTGGGGTTCTCCCATTGTTCTTCAATCCCATTGCTCTGAAATATTGAGATCTGTATCCTTCCTGCCCCCGCCCCCCCCCGGCTTCCCCTGCCCCAGGTCCACTCTGGGCTTCTGGCCTCAAATCTGAGAACCTTGAGCCCTGACCCTCCAAGAGAGGGGCCTGCCTGGCACCATGGCCAGAGGCCAGAGAGGCCCCCGTCCCCATCCGCCTGTGGGTTCTGAGAATCCTGGAGGCTGATGGGGAGGCACTGAGCACCAGCCAGAGCCTCGCTTGGGGTGCAGCATATAACAACTCCACGGGGTCCGGGCTTGCGGGGCAGGGGGAGGGGAAGGTGGGCTCTGGGGGGGTGGGGGCAGTGTGTTCCTGTCGGCATAGAGGCTCTGCCCAGCAGGAGACACAGAGACTCAGTTGTGTATCAAAGGGATGGAGGCGCTGCCCAGCCAGGGCCTGGGAGGCTGCAGCCTTGAGTGATGGAAGAGGAGACTCTTTCTGCTATGTGACCTTCCCTGTCTGAGTCACAGCCTCTCCAGCAGGCCTTTGCCCTGATGGCAGGAGGCCAGTTTCGGTGATGAGCAAGCAAATGTGTGGCCCCAGGGGCCATAAACCCTGTTTTGGTTTTGTATTGACATGGGTGTGGAGGTGGGGCTGGGAAGGAGCAATCCAGGAGGGCTTCCTGAAGGAGAGCGACTCACTGGGAGTGAGGGTTTGAACTTCAGGACCTGTTTCCCTGTCACTCCTGTGTGACCTGAGGTGAGCCACTTCTCCTCTCTGGGCCTTGGTTCCCTCTGCTGCAAATTGGGGACAAGAATGGTCCCCTCATCACAGGATCTTGTGAGGAGCAAATACGATGAGGGGTGAGCTGAGATTTGCCCAAGGTCATAGGTGAGAGGGGCCCTGGGGCTTGAACCCAAGACCCAGATTGAGTCTCACCCCTTGTTGTCCTCGGTGAATCGCCTGGGAGAAGTGGGCCTAGGAGGATGGGTGCCCCACCCTCCCCCCACCCTCCCCTCACCTGGAGGAGGGACCCAGCTCTCTTTTCCAAGAATGAATGTGCCCTGTGGGTTATAAATCCTGGTGAATGAACATCCAGCTACTCACTCAGCAAACACTCCTGAGTCACCCCTGCCACACCTGTCCTTCCCAGGGAGCCCCAGGGCATGGGGACAGAGCTGACCCAGAGGACAAGCTGAGGTCTACAGGGGAGCCCCAGAGGGGCAGCCAGGTCTGCAGCTAAAATAACCCAACCCCACATCCTGAGAACCTGGTGTGAGTACTGTTTGCAGAGACCACACCCTGTCAGCCAGCCATTATT